AAGTAACTGGGCATCTTACTAACAACGAGATCCAAATGTGCTCAAATTTCAATAATTATTTTCTGTTTTCACATGGGAAGACACTAGCAATATCCCAGTAATTAAATTTTATAGTGGACCTGAGGATAAATTATGTAATATCACAGTCACTAGCGAAATGGTTATGGGACAATTAGACTGACTGAAACAATAAATCGCCGGGCCCTGATGAGCTTTTTTTCAAGGGTTATTAACCCTTTGACTGTTTTCGACGTATAAATACGTCTTACGAGCCAATGTTTCTGACGTATATATACTCAATAATTCTAGCGGCTTCAAATCAAGTGGGAGAAAGCTGGTAGGCCCACATGTGAGAGAATGGGTCTGTGTGGTCAGTGTGCACCACATAAAAAAAATCCTGCAGCACACATTGCGTAATGAGAAAAAAAAAAACTGATCGTTTTTTTGGAATAAAACGCCGACTTTGAGGTGTATTTTCGTATAGTATTTATCGTTGTATTCGCGTTTTCATGGTCTTAGGTGATAAAATGGAAAACATATTACAGAAATAGAGATGATTTAAATTACTTTTATGATGAAAACGACCTTGAAACTGAGCTCAAAGTAGCAGAAATGTTCGATTTTTACCAATGTTCAAGATTAAATAAATCACACCACACGTCCAATACACGTAAACTGGGGAGTCTAATATTCTTTCACTAGTGCACTGATATTATTTATACCATTTTTACAATAATGCAGTCGTCTGCATAACAGTAAATTTTGTATTTTTTTGTATGAATAAAAAATCAAAATAGAAAGCAATAATAATATAAGAGGGGCCTAGAGATGTGACTAATGAACAGAGCATATGTTATTTTAGTGCCACGAATGTCTACCTTGTTTATTCTGGACCCTATTTTGAAATTGGCATCTTTTTTATTTTGCGTGAAATTGGCCAAATTGCCAATTTCTGACCACCATATTGGGTAGTCCAAATTAGTAAATGGGAGGTTTCTTGTACTCAGCTGATAGATAAAATGGAGTTCTAAAGAAATAGCTATGAGTTTGGTCAACTGGAACAATGGAATTGGCTGAAAATTGGGCTCAAAGTCGGCGAAATCGCCGATACGCATATGTCGCCGAGACCGCTAACTTCACGGGAGCATAATTCCACGAGTTTTCGACCAAATTTCGAACTTTTGGTGTCATTACCATCGGGAAAAGATTCTCTATCATTTCATAAGAAAAAATAATTTTTTTTTTTTTCAAAAATTGAGCGACATAGAATGACAGTTTCAGAGAGGGGCCTGAAACAGTCAAAGGGTTAAGGAATGCAAAATGGAACTCTGTGTACCATTGACTAATATTTTTAGTTTACAATATCTCTTCAGTCAGGTGTAGTGTCTGATATGTGGAAGATGGCCAATGTAATTCCTATTTTTTAAGCAGGGGACAAGTCGTTACCGTCAAATTACCGCCCAATAAGCCTAACCTAAATTGTAGGCAAATTATTAGTCAATTATAGCTGATAATATAAGAAGCCATCTTCATAAGCATACATGTAATTTGATTAATGATACTCAGCATGGATTCACGAGGGGCCATTCCTGCCTAACTAATTTACTAACTTTCTTCAGTAAAGCTTTTGAGGCCGTTGATTACAATAAAGAATTCTATTGTTTATTTTGGAGTTTAGTAAGGATTTTGATAGAGTACCACATCAGCGACTTTAAGAAAGTGGCAGCTCATGTCATTGAAGGAAAAGTGCTGTCATGGATAGTCATGGCTCACCAATAGGAAGCAGTGTGTGCATAAATGGGGTTGTCTGAGTGGGGATCTGTAACAAGTGGCGTTCCACAGGAATCAGTTTTAGGCCCGTTGTTGTTTATGATGTATCACAATGACCTTGACGCAGGAATTACTAGTAATATGAGCAAGTTCGCTGATGACACAAAGATAGGATAATCGATTCAAACGTAGATGTCACAACTTCAGGAGGATTTAGATGAACTCGGTTTGTGGTCAGAAAAGTGGCAGACACAGTTCAATGTAGATAAGTGCAAAGTTCTAAAGCTTTAGAATGTTCATAACCCTAGCACTTACCAACTTAATTATGTAGAACTTAGCCGTACAGAATGCGAAAAGGACTGAGAGGTCGTGGTAAGCAGCAACCTTAAACTAAGACAGCAATGCCTAAGTGCGCGTAATAAGGCAAATAGATTATCGGGATTAATATCAAGAAGTGTAAGCAACAGAAGTCCAACAGTTATACTACAGCTTTATACATCATTAGTAAGGCTTGGCTAGATAATGCAGCTCAATTCTGGTTTCCATATTACAGAATGGATATAAATTTGTTAGAAAACAGTTAGCGAAGAATGACAAAATTAATTCATAACATTAGAAATCTTCCGTATGAAGAAAGATTGAGGTCTCTTAACCCTTTTGAGGGTCGAGAGGCCCTCTCCTAAAACTTGTTCTCAGGGTCGAAAATTTTTCAGAAAAAAAAAATTATTTTTTCTTTTGAAAAGATAGAGAATTTTTTCCCAATCATAATGACACCAAAAGTATGAAATTTGTTGGAAAACTTGCGGAATTATGCTCACGCGAAGTTAGCGGTCTCAATGATGTTTATATATCGGCGATATCGCCGAATTTGAGCCATATTTTCGGTCAATTCCAGTGTACTAGTCTACAAAAATCATAACTATTTCGCTAGAACTCCATTTTTTCTATCGAATGAGTACAAGAAACCACCCATTTACTGATTTCAACTATCCAATAAAGTGGTCAGAAATTAGCAATTTTGCCAATTTCACACATTTCAAAAGATGCCAATTTCCAAATAGGGTCCAGAATAAACAAGACAGACATTCTTGGTACTAAAACATTTTCTCTGTTCATTAGTCATGTCCCCAGGCCCCTCTTACATTTCTTTTGCTTTCCACTTTGAATTTTTATTCTCACAAAAACTAGAAGATTTACTGTTATGCAGACTACTGCATTAGTGTAGAAATGGTATAAATAATATCAGCGCACTTGTGAAAGAATATTAGATTCACCAGTTGATGTGTATTGGACGTATGGCATGATTTGTTTACTTTTGAACTTTGGCAAAAAAATCGAACATTTCTGCTACTTTGAGCTCAATTTCAAGGTACTTTTCATTGTGAAACCAATCAAAATCATCTCAATTTCTGTAATATGTCTTCCGTTCTATAAATTGAGACCAGGAAAACTAGAGCACAACCATAAATACCACATGAAGATACAGTGCAAAGTCGTCGTTTTAAACCAAAAAGTGTTTTTTTTTTTCATTGCGCACTGTGTGCTGCAGGATTTTTTTTATACTGTGCACACTGACCACATAGACCCATTCTTTCATATGTAGGTCTTCCAGCTCTCTCTCGCTAGATTTGAAGGTGCTAGAATTTAGGCGTACTAGTACGTTAATAACCCTGGTGCGCAAGCCATACTAGTACGTCAGAAACCCTGAAAGGGTTAAATTATTCACTTGCAAGACGAAAAATGAGGGGAGACGTGATGAAAGTGTTTAAGTGGAAGATGGGTATTAACAAAGGGAATATAAATGAGGGTTTGAGGATATCTGTCCAAGAGAGAACCCACAATAATGGATTCAAATTAGATAAGTTTAGATTTAGAAAGGGTATAGGAAAGTATTGGTTTTGAAATAGTGTAGTTGATGAGTGGAATGGTCTGCCTAGTAGGGTTATTGAAGCTAAAACATTGAGTAGTTTCGAATTTAAGTTGGATAATTACATGTGAGAGGGGTTGGATTGGAGTGGGACTTACACACGAGGTAGTGCTTATTGTTAGGGTAGAACTTGCATATGAGTTAGAGCTCATTGTTAAGGTAGAACTCAAGTGAGTTGGGCAAATATTCTCTTAGTGAGTTGGATTTGTGAAGGACCTGCCCAGTATGGGCCAACAGGCCTACTGCAGTGTTCCTCCTTTCTTATGTTCTTACTAAAGATTGGGAACCCTCATATGAGGAATAATAGATTAATTATATATGAATCTGATAACACGAGAACTAGGTATAAATGTTTAATTACAGGAGGGCCCCGCCTTACAGCGCTTTGTTTACAGTGTTTTTCAGTTCTACCCATTCTTCATTTATTCAGACTTCGCACAATAAATATATTCACAACTTACTATAAGTTAAGGAAAAAAAATTTTTAAGGTAAGTAACATGTGTACTGTGTATGCATTTTTAGGCTTCTCTTAATACATGATAGTGTAAACATGTTATCAGGCTTTTATATGTATTTGAAAGTTAAAAAAAAAAAAAAACTTTACAGCAGTAGCCCAGAGCTTGACCTGATACATAAGCAGGGCCTGCCTGTATGGAGAGAGAAAAAAGTGGTATAAATGTTGGAATTAAAACCTGGTTAAGAATCAGTGGGTTTTTAGCGATAATACACCTGGAGGTGAGGAGAGAGAATGTTCATGTAAAGTGAATGTTTAATGGATTTTGAACAAAGAATAATTGTTTTGAGGTACTTGATGCTGAAATGATAATGAAAATAGTAAGGGAAATGCCAAGAATGAAGGATATTGGGGTCTTTCAATATAGTGTCTAGAAAGATGTTTGACAAATGGCAATGTTCTAAAATGAATATTAAGAAGTATATGAGAGTGCTACATAAGTACATACCAGTAGTGTTGGAAATAAATGGTATAAAATACCGACAGAATGGAAATATGAACACACATGCAGTATAATGTGATCCTTTATTGACTATGTTTTGCCCACACAGTGGGCTTTTTCAAGTCACAAACAGGATCACATTATACTGCAAATGTGTTTATATTTCCATACCAGTAGTGTTACTGGTCAGCACTTCTCCAGTCCCTTCTTCTGGTCACCCTATTTGTCAACTTGTGTAAATTTTTTTTTGTGCACTGATAGAAGGGATCTCATTATTGTGTTAATGCAGTAAAATAATATGACTTGTAATAATATTTTCTGAATAATTGAAATAGTACTACTTCGAAATTATTAATGGTCTGTTTTATTTACTTTTCAGTGTTAGCTGGGGCATTGTTAGAAAAAGCAGAATACTTGTTGGACAAAGGCATTCACCCAATTCGAATTGCTGATGGTTATGAATTAGCTGCTAAGAAAGCCATTGACAATTTGGAAAAAATTGCTGATGAATTTACTGTTGACACAAATAACTTGGAACCCTTAATTTTGACTGCTATGACCACACTTGGCTCAAAGATAATTAATCGTTGCCATCGGCAGATGGCAGAAATTGCTGTTAATGCTGTAATGGCTGTTGCTGACATGGAAACCCGTGATGTGAATTTTGAGCTCATTAAGGTGGAAGGGAAAGTTGGTGGTAAACTGGAGGACACTATGCTTGTGAAGGGTGTTGTCATAGATAAAGACTTTTCTCATCCACAAATGCCAAAGGAATTAAAGGATGTAAAGATAGCAATTCTCACTTGTCCATTTGAACCTCCCAAGCCCAAGACAAAGCATAAGCTTGAAGTAAGTAGTGTAGAAGAGTACAATGCTCTTCATAAGTATGAGCAACAGCAGTTCATCGATATGGTGGATAAAGTAAAGGGAGCTGGAGCTAATCTTGCTATTTGTCAGTGGGGCTTTGATGATGAAGCCAACCATCTTCTTCTTCAAAAACAACTGCCTGCTGTACGTTGGGTAGGTGGACCAGAGATTGAACTCATTGCCATTGCAACCAATGGTCGAATTGTTCCTAGGTTTGAGGAATTGTCACCAGAAAAACTAGGGACCTGTGGAAAAGTGCGTGAATTGACATTTGGAACCACCAAAGATAAGATGTTGGTTATTGAAGAGTGCCCTAACACTAAGGCTGTGACTATCTTCATCCGTGGAGGAAACAAGATGATTATTGAGGAAGCTAAACGCAGTATTCACGATGCACTATGTGTGGTGAGAAATTTGGTGCGAAACAACAAAATTGTCTATGGAGGTGGTGCTTCAGAGGTTTCATGTGCCTTGGCAGTATCAGAGGAAGCTGATAAAGTAAGTAATTTTTTAATATGTGATAAATAATTTTCATTCACTTGGAAGTCTGGAGAAAATAAGTCATAATGGGACAGTATTTTCATAATTTTGTTTTCTATAAAATTGCTTTTACTGTCTACCTTGAAGTAATCATAAGTCTGACTACAGGGTAAATTAAGGTTGACAGTTGAATGCACTTTTAATGAAAATAAATGTCTTTGAAACCTAAAATAAAAGGGGGGGGGGGAGGTTTTTGAAAATGTTCTTTTAGTGTGAGGAGAAAGGACTTGTGTATTGAAAATTGAGTAACCCTACTCAGTTTTGACATTACTCTTACAGTCGACCCCCCCTTTACCCCTCCAATTCTTGGAGGTTTTAGGAGGCCTAAATACACACGTAAATGATACAGTATAATTTAGTGTGCCCTATGCAAAATAATCCAAATGTTTCTCTTAGACACTTGAGATAATACAGTAGACCATTGGTTAGCACGCAACATGTTAACATGTTTTTGCGTCAGCATGATTACAAAATTGTGGCATATTTTCAGTGAACACGCTGCATTATACACAGTCGAGTCTCTCAGTTGCCACCCCCACATCCACAGCATAGATAAGGTGGCAGGGCCTGCCTAGCTCTTCTGTACCTGTTCGCAAGGGGCATGAGATTCCAGAGGGGTGTAGGTGTGGTGGTAGGGGGAAATGGTAGGATTCATAGGATAAGAAATTTCACTGCACTTTGCAAACTGTGCCAATCACAAATCTTTCTTTCAACACACCGGCCGTATCCCACCGAGGCGGGGTGGCCCAAAAGGAAAAACGAAAGTTTCTCCTTTTACATTTAGTAATATATACAGGAGAAGAGGTTACTAGCCCCTTGCTCCCAGCATTTTAGTTGCCTCCTACAACACGCATGGCTTACGGAGGAAGAATTCTATTCCACTTCCCCATGGAGGTAAGAGAAAATAAACAAGAACTAGTAAGAAAATATTAGAAAACCCAGAGGGGTGTGTATATATATGCTTGTACATGTATGTGTAGTGTGACCTAAGTGTAAGTAGAAGTAGCAAGACAGACCTGAAATCTTGCATGTTTATGAGACAGAAAAATGGACACCAGCAATTCTACCATCATGTAAAACAATTACAGGCTTCCAATCACAAATAACAACGGTTAATCCTTTGAGAGTCTAGACCTCCCAATCTTAAACTTGTTCTTGGTGTTTGTTTTTTTTTCTAGTAATTACACCAAAATTTGATGGAAAACTTATGGGATTATGCTTTTTGCAAAGGTAGTCTCGACGGTATTTACACACTGGTGAATTCGCCCACTTTGAGTCTTGTTTTAGGCCAGTTCTATTATTCCATCTGACCAAACTTGTGTATTTTGTTGTATGCATTCCATTTTTTAATTTTTATTCACAAAAAATATTCTATTATTTGGGCTACGACATTATTGTAACTATAAATGTCAGTGCATTTGTGAATCCACATTAGATGGGCCAGTTAGACATGTATAAGATAGGTAACGTGATTAGTGTCCTCTGGAATATTGACAAAAATCAAACATTTTCACTAATTTCTCACTTTCAAGCTACTTCCTGTACTGAAACCAGTCAAAATCATCTCTATTTCTGTAATATCTTCCATTCTATCAAATGATACCAAGAAGCTGAGAATAAAACCATAAAGACCATCTGAAAATGCACTGCAAAGTTTCTATTTTAATCCTTTCAGGGTCCAGATCCCTAATCTCAATTGTGCTCAGGGTCAAAGAATGAAAAAAAAAAAATCTTAAAGAATTAAGAGCATATTTTTGTGGAGGTAATAAAAAAAAAATTCCCATCAATATTTACTGACACAGGAGTGTGAGGTTGACAGTAAATGACCAGCTGACGGTAACATTGGTGACTGCCACACGTTCTGTATTAGTTTAATTTTATTATAGGTTTTTCTTTGCTTTTCTAATGTTTTTTCCAGTAACTATTGTGGCCCATGAGACCAGTATAATACACAGTGTATATACAGTAGAGCCCCATAATCCGCAGGTTTGGTTTCGTTATCCGTGGTTTACAGTGGCCCAACAATAACCTTTAATTTTGCTTAATGGCCACAAAGTGCATGCTGTAGATTGTCCATCCCAATTGTAACAACTTCATCACTTTCACTGTCTGTTTCTGCTGTAGGGCCACATGATTTACGCAGTCCCCTGGAAATAGAACATGGCACACTACCAGACCGCAAGTGGCATCATATAAATAGATGCTTCACTGATGAATATTCTTCACTTGCTACTCGAATGGTCATCAAGAGCTGGGAAATAACAATCAATATCACTCGTTAGCATTGCTCATGTGTGAGCATGGCAATGGGAAAATATAAGTTTACTCTTATGGCATGGTAAAACTGAACATGAAGTAAACAGACCAGTCCCAGAGGTGGATGGTGAGGGTCATTGGGGTTTTCAACACTGTCCAGCATTCTGAGTGTCGCTTTGTCACTAACTGCTGTATAGCCCTTGTGGCTTAGCGCTTCTTTTTGATTATAATAATAATAATTTGTCACTAACTCCTCAAAACCATAGAAAACATCATTTCACCTCCATCAGTATTAGAACTATCTCTTGGGAAGAGAAGATTCCCAGTTTGCTGGGAAGTGAGGTTTTTGTTGCTGTGAGGCAGGGTGAACATAGGGTACTGAAGATGACATTCCCACAATGCCATGCCAGCACCCCAATTTTCTGTTTACTTCTTACACTAACCATGCAGACCCATTCTCTTATATGTAGACCGACCAACCTTCTCCCGCTTAATTTGAAGCTACTAGAATTTAGGCATAGCTCAATGGCACAGACCCCTCACTTCAAAGCTGTAGTACCATGACAGACCCTAAAAGGGTTGAACCATACACATGGTCAGTTTTTTTTTTTTCCATCATGTACTGCATGTGGCAGGATTTTATTTTTATATGGTATTTGAAGCATGGACCAATTCTCTTATAGGCCATAATTTTGCCACTCACAGCTTCGAGTGAGCTGAGCTCGTGCTGTAGTTTTATGGCACATACCCTGAGCTCATGGCCATTCGTTTTCACTAGCCAGCATGCACAAAGAAGCTAGAAATTTTATTTGCACTTTAAATAATGCTGTTTTTGTGAATTTTGTAATGGTTTCAAGGGTTTTGTCTACCATTTTAATTACTTAACCCTTTGAGGGTCCATCCTGTAGTTCTATGAGGCTTTGAAGCCAGGGCCTAAGCCGTAGTACTACATCATGAGTTCAGCTCGCTCAAATAAGCTGTGAGTGGGAAAATTGGGCCTTGATATGAGGGAATGCATCTGTGGTAAGTGTGCACTATATATAACAAGTCCTGCAGAAGGCAGTGCATAATGAGGGAAAAAAAAGACTGCGACTTTTTGGATTAAAATAGATTTTGCAGTGTATTTTCGTATGGTTTTTATGGTTGTATTTGTGGTTTCTTGGTCTCATTTGATAGGATGGAAGATATATTACAGAAATAGAGATGATTTTCATTGGTTTTAATACTGGAAATAGCTTGAAATTGAGCAAAGTTGCGGAAATGTTCGATTTTTTGCCGATGTTCAAGAGTAAACAAATCATGTCATGTGTCCAATACACATCAGCTGGTGGGTCTAATGTGCATTCATGAATGCCCTGATGTGTATACAATTATTACAGTATTACGTAAGAGTAAATCTTAAATTTTTTTGTGTGAATAAAAATTGTGAAAACAATAAAAATGTAATTCGTGTGTAAAGCCTGGAAACATGACTGATCAACAGAGGAAATGTTATTTTAGTACCAGGAATGCCTGCATCGTTTATTCTGGACCCTATTTTGAAATTGGAGTATTTTGAACTTTGTGTGAAATTGGCCAAATTACCAATTTCCGATCACTGTTGGGTAGTTGAAATAGCTGATTGGGAGATTTCAGTAGATAAAATAGAACACATACAAGCAAAATAGCTAGGAATTTGGTCTAATGGACCAGTGTAATTGGCTGAAAATAGGACTCGGTGGGCAAAATTGCCGGTGCATAAATATTGCTGACAGCAAAATTCGTGAGTGCAATTTTTTTTTTTTTTTTTTAACCCTGTTGGGAATTTTCAGGTTGGAGGTGTGGACCCTCAAAGGGTCCACATCCTGAACTGGTGGTGGTGCAGCTCTTATTACTTCACTTTAAATATCCAGATATTTACAGCAAAACAAAATGCTGCACATGTTAGACATGTTGATACATTATGCATGAGGTTAGTGGCAAGTGGCTGTCACCCTGCCCTCATACAGTGGACCCCCACTTACCAACGTAGATATGAACAGAAGGAATGGTTCACTGAGCAAAAATTTTAGTGAATCATATATTCTCAAAAAAGCCCATGTTGTAACTTAGGATGGGAACCAGAACAGTATATTCAGTGTGCAATTCCCATTAATTTTTTCATTGAAATTTAAAGAATGTGTACTTGCTACCCAGCCCCCCATCACAATCACTCATCCCACCATGATGGTTGCACCAAACTAACATCCCCACCTATCCTCAGTGCTTATGCACCAAAATAACATCCCCTTCCCCTCCTGTCCTCAGCACTTGCACCAAACTAACATCCCCTCTTCAGTTTCACTAAACCAAGCAAGTTCCCCAACCAACCAGAGCCTGAAAGTAGGTGCCTTGATGCATGTGAGGGCATATTGTTCTAAGGAATTGGACCTCTTTCTCTTCCTTAAATTGAACCTGATACCCTTCCATTTCCCTAGGCATTGTAGGCTCCCCCCCCCCCACACACACACAGACATGCACAATCCACCACTCCAAACCTTCCTACCCCTCCACCTTCTTACTCCTGCCCCACCATTTCATCCACCCTCACTAGTATATGTCAGTGTGTTTTCTTTAGCATACAAAATGTTATTAGGCCTGATTGAAACTAGGCCATGGGATTGTTAATCCCTAGGACTACTGATATAAAATCGGTTTTCTCATTTTTTTTTTTTTGTTCGATCAGATCTCGACTCTGGAGCAGTATGCATTCCGTGCCTTTGCTGATGCTTTAGAGAGCATTCCACTAGCTCTTGCTGAAAACTCAGGTCTCTCCCCTATCCACACGCTAGCTGACTGCAAAGCCCGACAAGTTGCAGAAAAAAACCCATCTTTAGGCATAGACTGCAATAATAGGGGAACATGTGGTTAGTATTAATTCCCAAATGTTCAATTAGTTTTAACATTCATTTATGAATTGTCATTTTGTCGCTTGTTGTGCAATAGCATGTTGAATTTGCGTGGAAACAGAATATTAAATTTGTTGAATTTGATACATAAAATAATTTGATACAATGACAATTTAGTGTTTCGCAATCATGTATCTGGTATATGTATTTTTCAGATATGAAGGAACAGCATGTGATTGAGACCCTGCATAGCAAGAAACAACAGATTCTTCTGGCCACTCAGCTTGTGAAAATGATTCTTAAGATTGATGATATTCGCACTCCTGGTGAATCTCTACATGCTTGATTTATTTTTTTTTTCTTGAATAATGTCCTTTACATCATAAGCTAATATTGTACATTAATTTTTCTTTTCTGTGATTTAATAATAATCACAAAGCACTAAACCCATGAGAATGCATTCACAAAATATCAAATGTAGGACACTGCAGTTACAGGAAAGCCTTAAAGTTTGGGGGTTCTTGGTCAAAACCATAAATGAGGCTGGAATTTTTTTTTTTATAGTTCTCATGCAATTTGCTTGTCACCAGCAATTTAATAAAACACTAAAATCACTTATTTTTTATGTACACCTAAGATTTTTTTTAACAATATTACCTTTGCAAATTAGAGGAAAAAAAAATAGCCTACTTTGGTAAAGAGCTTAAAATCATATCTGTTTCTGTAATATATCTTCCATTCTACCAGACAAAAAAAAAAAAAAACATACAAAAATACACTGCAAAGTTGCTGTTTTACACCAAAAAAACATGCTGGGAGATTTCTTTTATTCGTTGGAACCATGGGTAAGGCTAAAAGAAAGTTATAACAAATTAAAAAAAAAAAAAAAATTGGTATCACTTTTGCAACAAGTAGTGCCACCAAACAGTAGCAGCAGGTCGGTGTGGCAACCCTGGAAATTTGAAATTATGCTAGTCAAAATTAGCGCTGGATTAGTGATGGCTGGTCAACCTGTGGCAAGTTATTAAATGTTAGTTTTTTAATAGGATAGTGAGACTTAGGGTGTGTAGGAGAGGGAACATAAGAATGGAGGAACACTGCAGAAGGCCTACTGGCCCATGCAAGGTAGATCCTTATCAAAATGTCCTCTACCTTAAGCTACCCAAGAAATAACTCCCGTACCCAATGACACCAATCAAACCCAGCCCCTCCCACTCATATATTTGTCCAGTCTCTTCCTCTTCAAGGGGGGCTCCTTGGCGTGGTGAAGAGGCTCTTGGTCTGAGGAATTAGACCTATCGGTCTTCTTCCTCAGACCGAACCTAATTACCCCCCAATCTCCCCTCCCCTATCCCATCCTCCCCATCCTCCCCTTTTTCCTTTCCTCCTCCTCCTCCCCACTCCTCCCTTTTGCCCTTCCTCTTTTTGTCCTTTGGGATTTCTCCCACAGGCGCGCTAGTTCCTAGGTAGGAGAAAGGACACCGGGGTCCATCCCATTCCGTTGAGGTTTCTTGGCGGTGGCGTAGTTTGCCGTGGAATCTGGATTGCCTAGGGATGTCCCGATCCCTCTCCGGTATCCCGGAGTAGCTTTGGGTGTCTTTTGGGCGACGGGTGTAGCTCTGGAAGCCACCTTTCGGATTCCGGGGGTGGTGGCTGAAGGAGGTATGCTTTGTGGCGGATATCCGGCCGCCCTCTCTTTTGTCCACCGAGGTAGCTCGGCAGATGTGAGGTTGCTATCCCAGATTGCTGGTTTACTGGCATGAAGGGTAGGGTATGGCACGGGTTCCATGCTGCATCTGCGCTACTAGCGGTGTCGAGTCCTCTTGGGCGCGGAGGGAGATTTCTGGCCCTTTCATCCCTCCTAGGAACTATCCCTCCCCGGTCCCCCCTTTTTTTTTCTTTTTTTTATTTTTATTTTCTTTTCTTCTTTCTTTTTTTTTCTTAAAAACAAAAAGAAAGAAGTAACCTAACCATGGCAGCCCTAGTCCATGAACCTGGTACCCCCGGGCCCCTTCTTGATACCGCACCCCGTTCTGACCCCGCCTCGTCTTTGGACCACTCTTCAGACATTCCTCATGCCTCTGTACCTATTGCCGGTGCTGTTTCCTCACCCGCTTCAGGTACTGAGGCCTCGACTGACTCCTTCGATTTATCAGACCTTCGCTCTCCTCTGACTATGCTTCCGGCCTCTCCCTTCTACGGTGCGGGCAATTTTCAAATCGCCGACCCGTTCCACGTCGGACCAACTCTGGTCCCACGCCTAAACGTCAACGACAATTACCTGCTGATGATACTTCTCCACCTTCACCTTCTCGTTCTTCTCAGAAACGATCGACACGTCCTTCACTACCTTTCCACGCTCAGTTTCAGACTGAACAGTGGACTAAATTCTTCACTTTACGACCAACTTCCTCTACTGCCTATCTTTCTGACCATAGTATTGGCAAGGCACTCCTACGCCATGTTGGTAAAGATTTTTTCTTTTCATGCTCTTAAGAGCGGTACGCGCATCATTACCGTACAGAATGCTACCCAGGCTCGTGAGCTCTCTCGTCTTACCCATATAGATACTGTTCCTGTCACCCTTGAAAAACATCATTCCCTCAATTCTTGTAGTGGTACCGTTATTCTGCCCCATACCATAGTTCAACAAAATTTCCAGACATGTTGGCACCGACATTCTAGAACAGCTGGAACTCCAAGATCTCCCAATCCTCAAGGTAGACACTTACGTTCTTCCTGCCCGTGGGCGGAGACGATACCCTAGCAATGTGGCTCGTTTAACTTTTGACAGCCGAGAACTCCCATCCTCCGTTTATATAGCAGGACATCGGTTACAAGTTCGAAAGGTGATCCCTACACCACAACAGTGTAGAAATTGCTGGCGATTTGGCCATCCAGCGAAATATTGCAGATCTATCGCCGAATGCCCAGTCTGTGGTGCCGATGACCATTCTAATACGTCTTGCAATCGATCTCCCTCTTGCCTTAACTGTCATGAGGCTCACCCTTCGTACTCTCGCCGTTGTCAGGTCTATTTAAACGAGCGGGAAATCCGTTACCTCAAAGAGACAGAAGGTCTCCCTTATGCCATGGCAGTTTCTCATCTCCGCCTCCAAGGGAGACTCCCACGTGTTTCTTATTCCCGTGTTTCAAAACGTCCCCCCACTTCTGGTATCCCATCTTCTACACCCACCTCTGTGGTTACCTCTCCCATAATCACTCCTGTATCTAATCCTTTTGCTGTCCTCGGCTCAGACGTCCCTACTTCAACGCCTCAGTCTAATCTCGCTTCTTCGAGTTCTCTCTTACAAGCCTCAGCGTCGACGAGACCTCGTACGACACCTCTTCCCAATCGTCCCTCTACTTCTCAAAAGTCAAAAAAAGGTCCGGTAACACCTCCTACCCATCTTCCACCTCCTCATTTTACCCTCCCTGTCTCTGTCCCTAGTTCTTCCCCTCTCACTGGCTCAGTTACAAGTGCAGAGGTTCACCCTCCTCCTCGTAATGTACCTTCCCCCCCTGTTCCCTCCAAGTTTCTTCCTCTTCTGCCACCTCCCAGGTTCCTGTCTCTTCTGTCCCCTGCCACGCTTCTCCATTTCCCCTCCACCCTTTCGCCCCCCCCCTACCTTGGTACAGTCCAATACAGTTCCAATCTTTACTCATCCTCCCCTACCATTCCCAATATTGTCTCCCATACGACATCTCTGAATTCCGAAACACTTGAAGCAATCTCTGAATATATTGCAGAGACCAAACCATCAATGGACACTGATCCACCTTCCGCTCTTCCTCTCTCCTCTGCTCCATCTGCGCAACTCCTTTCTTCACAGCGCACCGTTCCTTCGCTGCTGAACATTTTCCACTGCCTCCGCATGTGGACTTTTCTAACCCTTCTAGTCCGTAGGAACCCTTACCTGCGGATTTCAAGTATCTTTATCATTGCCAATCATGGCCTTTTTACAGTGGAATATACGCGGCCTCAGGGTAATCGGGGTGAGCTTCAGATGTTACTCTCCCGTTTGCCCCTGTTGGTGTTTGCTTACAGGAACCAAAATTACACTCTGCTGTTATTTCTCGCATCTCAGGCTATAATTTATTGTATTCTTCAGATCCTTTTCCTGATGGGACCTTTAATGAAAGTGCCCTTCTTCTCCGCACTGATATTCCGTACCATCAGCTATTTGTTCATACTTCGCTGCATTACACAGCAGCCCGTATCCACTTACATAGGTGGTATACGCTCTGTTCTTTATATCTCTCTCCTTCTCGGGCATTATCTATTCCGGATTTTGTCTTCCTTGTTTCGTCATTACCGCCACCGATTCTGTTGCTTGGTGATTTTAATGCCCACCATTTCCTCTGGGGAGGGTCTCACTGTGATTCCCGTGGAATTCAGTTAGAGGCTTTTCTTGCCACCCACCCCCTCCATGTTTTAAATACAGGTACTCACACCCATTTTGACCCTCGGACTCATACTCTCTCTTGCATCGATCTCTCAGTTTGCTCTTCCTCCGCCGCATTAGACTTTACTTGGTCTGTTCCCCCGGACTTACATGACAGTGATCATTTCCCAATCATTCTTACTTCCCCTTCATATTCGCCACCTCTTCGCACCCCACGCTGGCAATTTAATCGGGCAAATTGGAACCTTTACCACACCTGACTGTTTTTAAAGAGGTTCCTTCTTCGTCCTCCATCGATGAGCTTTTACACCTCTTCTCGCCCTCCGTTTTCACCGCAGCTTCTCATTCTATCCCCCAAACTTGGGGCAGGCATTCTCAGAAATGCGTGCCTTGGTGGTCTCCTGCTTGTGCTCGTGCAGTACGTTTGAAACGAGCTGCATGGGGCAGGTACCGGTACAATAGAAACCACAGAGCGACTCCTTGATTTTAAACAGAAGCGTGCGATCGCTCGCCGTGTCATCCGTGACGCTAAACGCACTTGCTGGCGAGATTATGTCTCCACCATCACCTCTGCTTCCTCTATGAGTGCAGTCTGGAAAAAAGTACGAAAACTGAGTGGTAAATATTCTCCTGACCCGGCTCCTGTTCTGCGGGTTGCCGGTTTGATATAGCAAACCCACTAGATGTTTCCAATGAAATTGGCAATCATCTGGTCCGTATTTCTCAGGACTCCATCTATGCCCCTCATTTCTTTCCTCAAAGTCTGCCAGAGAGTTAGCACCCTTGGACTTTTCTTCTCTCAGAGAAGAACAGTATAATGTGCCTTTTACACTTCAAGAACTGGAGGCAACACTCTCAGCTTGTCGATCATCGGCAGCTGGGCCCGACGACATTCATATTCGTATGCTACAACATTTACATCAGTCAGCCCTTGCAGTCCTATTACACCTTTACAATCTTATTTGGTCCCAAGGAGTTCTTCCACAGCTGTGGAAATCCGCCATTGTTCTCCCTTTCCGCAAACCAGGCACTACGGGACATGAAACCTCCCACTATCGTCCCATTGCTCTTACCAGTGCAGTTTGCAAAGTAATGGAACGTCTAGTAAATAGACGTTTAGTGTGGTATTTAGAGACACAAACAGTCTCTCCACTCGTCAATATGGCTTTCGTAAGGGACGTTCTACCATAGACCCCTTACTGCGCTTG